TGCAGGAAACAGCTGAGTCAAGATTCATATCTGTGTCCAGACCCTACACTGGGCTGAACAGAAAGCTAAGGCCAGGCCACCCTGTCATGGGAGGAAACAATACCATCACACAAGAGGTGGCACTGGCTAAGGAGACTAGACCACTGCCAGGCAGATGTCTTTGTACTCTTCCATGCTAGGTTGTGGTCCTGCAGTCTCTTGTCTTGTGATCAAGCAAATATTCATGTGGCTTCCCTCATAGTCTCTAGACTTTAGTTATTATTATTATTTTTTTTTTTAGGATTGACACAGGGAACTTTATTTCACATACCTTGGAAAGAATTCTTGTTCATGGTTTCAATTTTTTTCAATCCTCCTCATTTTTATTATTTAAAGGGATCCCCTTAGGAGGTACCCAAGAGAGCCTATGCTTAGCATGTACAAGGCTCTGGGTTCAGCCCCCAACACTACCAGGAACAAACAGGGAGGGAGGGAGGGAGTGAAAGAAGGAGGGAGGGAGAAGGGGGTGAGTAAGTGTCCTTTTAATTCCACCTCAATTTCACCCTCATATAGGAGCTGCTGTGGCCTATCACTACATTCACCACATTCATGTCACAGGTCCCTGGCTCTTCTCTGACTGTTATCTAAGCTGACTCATATACAGTGCTATATAACATGCAGCACATTTCTGTAAGTACCCAATGTCCACGCATTTACGCATGTATGTTTTCACCATGTTATCATGTCTGCAAGATCAGATACCAAAGACACAGGGATGAACAGGGACCGGTAAGAAGTCTGTGTTAAGTGTGTGAGAAAAAGCAGTGACCACTGTACCTATCTGCTTAACAGGTGAAGTAGAAATTTCTGGTTTCTTTGAAGACTGAATTTTGTCATGTGATGTTTTACCCAGGTTGGCTTGTGGGAGGTCACATGATGTTTTGCTGTGACCCCTCACATGTGAGGGGCATGACTTTGGCCAGCTGAGAACATCTGAGGGTGGACTCTAAGAAGAGGACATATATAGAGGTCCATACAGAGTGAAACATCACTTTTTGGATCAACATCACTATGCTGATCTTTGTGCTTCAACACTTGGCTTTGCAGAAACATTTCAGAGAGCTTCTCCTGGCCATCCAACTGAGTCTTTCAGCTTTTGCTGCTTCGTGTTGGCCTTTGGACTGGATTTCTGGTATCCTGATGACTGAGTGTGGTAATCTTCTAATGATCCATCGACACTAATCAGCAGGAAGCAGATAAAAATGGACTACAGCCCTTTACCCTACTAATCTTCTACCTAAGGTTGCAGGAGGTTGGGAGGGAGGTAAAGGTGCTTAAGAACCCTAAATAAAGTAGGACTGCTGAAAAATCTAAGCCAGCAAGCAGGCTCTGCTCTGGTTAGAGCATAGATGAACGGCACAGTGGTTACAATCACAGTGGTCTAAGAGTCAGAGGAAATTCACTTGTCTCTGGGAACCATGTCAGGGTCAGCAGCAGGCTCAAGTCAAGGCCGTTAGCCATGGTCCTGAAGGCCACAAGAAGCTACTGAAAACCCTCAGGAATTGGAGATACCTGGTTCTGTCCACATCGGCTAGCCAATGCTGGCTCCAGTGAGAGAAGCTAAGAAGCTTGGGCTCCGTATGAGAGAGAAAGAGGCTCCAACGTGCAAGTTGGGTACTGATAAGGCTGGATGACATGCTCTACTGCCAAGCTCTCACTTTAGTGAGAGGACTGGGTTGATGGAAGGTCATGGTTAGAATTTGGGATGTTAGGAGTCTTAGGAATCTTTGAAGAGGATTTAATCTATGTCTTAAAAAATGGGGCTGGAGAGAAGGCTCATTGGCTGTTCTTCCAAAGGTCCCGAGTTCAGTTCCCAGCAACCACATGAGGGCTCATAACTATCTATAATGAGATCTTGTGCCCTCTTCTAGCATATAGGCACACATGCAGACTGAACACTGTATGCATGTTAAATAAATCTTTTAAAAAATTGCAGCTAGTATTAAGACATGTTATTGCAATTATTATTTTGAAATGACACTTTAGACTTGGCATGTGGGAGGTAAAAACAGGTGGCTCTCTATGAGTTAGGAGCCAGTTTGGTCTACATAGCAAGTTCCAGGCCACCCCACTTCCCTCTCATTCAATCAATCAATCAATCAATCAATCAATCAATCAACCAGTCAGTCAGTCAATCAACCAATCAATCACTATAAAAAGTACACTTTGGCCAAGGTTACCTTACTGATACCTACAAGATAACATTACTGGTCTGATTTGGCTTCTTTTGAGCCAAAAGTGTTATTTAAATCCTCTGAGATTTAGGATCCTACCTGTCAGTCAGCTTTCAAACATAGGTGTGGGAAGGGAAGGCCCCACCCCTTCTTGAGTAGCCACTGCCAGTTAATAGCTACTGGGGGAGGAGTAGTAATTTTCTTCAATGGAGTAACCCCCTGGTCAGTTGTCCGTGTTCCATCAAATCACCCATCATTCATTCATGTTCATGTAGGCAACCCTAATTAAACCCTGGCTCATACTCAGCAAATAGACCTGAAAGGAGAAGGAAGACTTGCTGGGAAGAAGAAAGGTTTCTGTGAGACAGTAGGAAAGGAGAGGGCAATGGGGTGAATAAGATCAAAATCCATTCTATACCTGTGTAAAGTGTCAGCAAATAGATAAAATACGGGTGTTATAGTTCAGAGAGATGTGTGGCACCCTGGCACCTTAGATCCACCCTGTGAGTTTATTGAGGAGAATGGACTGGGGCATGGGAGGGAGGGGGTGGTTTACTCCATCCGTTCCAGGACAAATGGCATGGTTCATGCTTTGTGTATGCCTAGCAGAGCTGAAAGTGAACGTTACTCACAGGCCTCCTGATCAGATCCTTGACATCCATCGTAAGCACATTCTGTCCTGTCAATCACATCACGTGTTTTCTTCTGTGCCGTGGTAGCACGAAATCCTTTCTTTGGAGCATACAGATGTCATGTGAACAGTACATTTATTGCCCTGGGTAGGGAAGTTTTCAAACTGTTTTCCGGGAATCCTATTTCATTGTTCAGAGCGGACTCCTTTCCTGTCATTCCACCTTCAGTGACCAAGTTCTGTCCTACAAAAGGGCTCAATATGTCAATTGTATTTGCTATAGCAACATGTAACCCCACTCCCTTTTTTCATGTAACCAGGCTGGCCTCATTATCTGTGTAGCTGGCCTTGAACTCTAGATCCTCCTGCCTCTTGGAAGCCAGGATTCTAGGCATGCCCCATTCTGCCAACCTCACTTTGAATTAGAGATGGCATCATAGCAGTCAGCGTGAGCAGAACTCTGAGTCAGAAGGGCGACTCTTTTCTTTTTGATCTGTGTCATCCATATTTCTTGTTTCTGTTAGTTGGAAGAATTTATCCCAATGGAATTTGTTTGGGGAAGCTTTTTGATAGGCTCAGAGCTGCCTGATCTCTTGGATTATAAATAAGAATTTGGCCAGGACAGTTCCATGTTCCGCTTCCAACTCTTGGTTGAGGTGGTGTACACAGGCCACTCTGTGAGTTCTTCAGGGTGGCTGTAACTGTAAGCCCATGGAAGCTTCCAGAATCATAGAGTCAGAAGTAGAAATGAGTGAAAGAAAAAATGTGCTGTGGGAATTATTCCACTGGGGAAGGGGATGAAGGTTGTCAATAAATCCAAGCTGTGAAGCATCTTGCATAATAAGTAGCGTGCATTTTATTGGGAGAAAAGATATAAGACCTGTGCTGTAGAATCTGTATGCATGTTCAGTTTAAAGAAGGTGTAGTGGGTAGAACTTTGGGAAGAAAAGTAGAAAGAAAAGAATTTTGGGGGAAACACAAGTAAAGTGACATCCAGGGCAGTATTGGTCCAGTCTGCAGTGCTATGGGAGCGAGGACTTCAGCACAGCCTCTTCCTGTGCTGGGGATGGAGGCAGGCACTTTGTAGACATTGTCCTCTTAAATCTTCTTAAGAGTTCCCCCGTATTGTTTCACAGGCAGAACAGTGAAGCAGTCAAATGATTCCTCAGTGCTATGAAGTTGGCTAGCAGTAGGGCTTGGGTTTAGACTCAAATCTGGCCAGCTTCAGAGCCCTGGAGGCTTCACACTGAGGCTTCTGGCTCAGAAACAGCTCTGTGTGACGATCAGACTGGCTTTCTTCCAGGGCTGGACAAGCTCTCTTTCAACACCAGGACTCTAGGTCACAGCTCAAAGCATACGGAGAAGCATTTTCATCACCTTTGTATTCAAAGATCTGCTACTGAATTTTATCTCTGTGGTCTGGAGGGGTCCTCCTCCTCTGACACTGTCATTTATCTTGAGAAAAGATGATTGATTTAGAGGTGTAAGTGTCTAAGCCCTTGGTTGACCTGGGCAGCCAAGCCCCTTGACTTTGCTGGTGGGATCTGAGAGTATTTGGGGGAGACGAGTAAGCTGATGGGGTGGTGGTGGGTTTTATTGTGCTATTAGGAGCTTTATGCTTTGACAGGAGTGTTTCCTGTAGCCTCATAAAACAAGCTGGAAGGTCTTACATCATCCTTTCTGCCATCCCAACAGAGACAAGACCTTTTTCTATACTTTGAATATTTCCCGATGGTCCACTCTGGCCAACCCACTTTTCCAATTGTACAAAGCTCTGTAACAGGTGTGGAGGAAAGCCGGAGAGGTGGGGGAGAACCCATCAGCTCAGGTTGTTTCCCTGATGTTCCTGGGAAAGACAAATGACTCATGTTAGAGCAGAGTACCAAAACCTCTCAGAAACAGGCCCGTTTAGCTTGGGCAGTATATGAATAAGGCAGTTATGCATCTCTTGGATGTCTGGCAAGTTTGTCGTCATGGCAATTCTCCCACTGAGGGAGGTCTGCTTGCACAAGTTGTCAGCCTGTGTCCCAACCCCAAGCCACCTGAGAAGGAGGGGCCAGTCCAGTCCATTCCTTATTTATAACTCGCTCTGAGAGAGGGGGAGGGATCACCAGGTTAACTCCCTGGCAGGCTGCCTGTCAGAGTTACATCTACAAATGTCTCAGAAGCAGCCGGCTGGCTGCATCCTTCTCACGTTCCTGAGTCTGTTTGGACTGGCTGGTGCAGTCACCAGAACATATTACATTGGGATTTTGGAAGAATACTGGAACTATGTGCCTCAAGGGAAGGATGTTATTACTGGGAAGAGTTTCTCCGAAGACAAGTGAGTGAACTCGGGGTCCTCACAGACTCCCCAGTTTGACCTCTTTTCAGCTCTGGATTAGGGAGGTTGTATTCCTTAGGTGGCTGTGGTGAAGGTGGCCTGACTGAGGTGGAAAGGCAGGTTTCACCTCTGCCTGAGGATCCCCAACCTAGGTGGATCTCTAACTTGTGAGAGAAATTCCCATCGCTCCATATTCACTGAGCCATCTGTTACTCTTGACTGTGGAGACATGTCAACCAGGTGTTTTGAATAGTCGCTTTTCCTTGGTGGCTTCTAGGGGAGTTTGGGACTCTGTTAAGAAGAAAAACAAAGGCAAAGTTGTGAAAATTTGAGACCATTCAAGGACTAAGTGTCAAAGCTGTTTTCTTAGTTGTGTTTGGGGACTGTGGTGTACTAACTGTTCTATATGAGGCCTTGCTTTTCTTTTGTGGTGTCAGATGTAAAACAGAGGCGGTTACAGCAGAAGTGCTACTCATGTCTGAAGAGTTTCCTTTGGGTCTACTCAGAATTGGGTCTTCCTTTCCCGAGCTGCTTGTTCCAGTCTCGATCCCTTCATCCCAAAGTGCAATGCCTTCTCAGAACTAGAGCTCAAGACACAGTTGAGGAAGGTGGTGCTGGAGTGTCTCTGGCTTTTAATTTTAGCAGACAGCATCCCTCCCTTCCAGGGCTGAGCGTCCAGCTCAGGTGTCTTACCTCTTCCATGGTCTACCCTTGAAGCCAACTGCTGGCTCTGGAAGCTGTGATGATGTGTTTTCAACTGTGTGGTTCTCAGAACACATTAGATCTGACAACTGAAATTTATGCTCCTTTCTTGATATACACAGACCATTATATTCAACAGCTACTTTTTGTTTCCTAAAGATGAGCTTATTTTCTCAAATTTAGGAATGGCTTGGGGTCTGCCATGATATCTTTTCAAGTCAGTCCTCTCTGTCTAGAAGGAAGACCTAAGATCCAGCTGGCTTTGATATTCAGCTTCCTTCCTTTCTAACACAATGGTGGCAGTCATGTCCTATTTTCTTAAAAAAAAAATGAGGATCCTGCTAATTTGGTGGCCAAAGAGTTTTTTGGATTTTTTTTTTTTGTGCTTCTTATTGAAAAGTTTTTTGCTGAGTTATTTCCAAGTAAAGTACTTGATACATTCTTGTCCTCCAACTTCTGTCCATCATGGTAGTCATCTTTAATACATGAACAAGTCATTAAATAGTACCCTAACTTCCAGAGTGATCTCTGAAGTTAGAGCTTTGTCACGAGAAAATGCCTAGTGTGAACAGCTATAAGACATTAATAGGTTCAGAATATATACCTGGAATGTGATGTGGCTGGGATAGCTGTGGCTTCTCCCCCCCTCCCCCCAGGACTTGTGTTAGGGACTCTTAAATCCACTTCTGCCCATAGATGTCATTTCCCATTTTTTCCAATGAGGAAGGAGGCTCTGATGTTGAATGCTTGGTATGGTTTACCTGGCAAATGACCTCACCTAATACCTGGCTTGGGTCCCAGGGTCCATGTGTTCTCTTTCCATGCAACCTAATTCTTGGAAATCTTGAACATTTCCTACTGAGCTACTGAGCTAAACCCAGCTTTGAAGGAAGGAAGAGCCTCAGTGGCATGAACTTTCTTTTTTTTTTTTTTTATCAAGGGTATATTTAATCTCAGCTGCCTTCTTCTCAGAGAAAAGTTGAAAATGATCCTGAATGGCCAGTGACCAAACTGACTCTCACATGAGTCTTAAATACTCAAGACTAAATTGCTGCTTACACAAAACTGTATAAAAAAAAGGGGGTCTCTCTGTGGACCCCTTCAATAAAATAAGGTGCTTTTAATAAAGGGCAGTACCATGGATGGGAATTCTTGGGTGAAAAAGAAACTAGACGTATGGAAACCATTTCTGTGGTCCAGATTTTAATGAATCCACCTCACATCAGTTTTAGTTCCATGTATGTATGTACCTAGCTTTGGAAGCAGTAGGCACATGGTGATGTCACATTGATGATAACTGGGTTCCAAGGCTTTTCTTTTTACAGAGGGACATGTTTGTGAAGAGCCGTGGCTATTCCTTGAAAGGGGAATGCAGATTAACCCATGAGGGTATTTATTGGAGAGTTTTAGGTCATGGCAGGTGGCTCAGGGAGAGTCAGGAGTGTTTTTGTAGTTGGCAGACTTGATTGTAGTCCCCAGTACATACACAGCTGCATGTGACAAGGCCACCATGGGGGGGCATAGATGAGCCCAATGTACACACTCTGGAGTCACTCAAGCACCATGACAACAGAAGAGAAGTTACACCATTGAGACAACAGAGGGAAAGGCCCATCATTGAGATGACAGAGGAGAAGGCCCACCACTGAGATGATAGAGGAGAAGGCCCACCATTGAGACAACAGAGGAGAAGGCTTACATATATTGAATAACCTTTCTTTCCACAGAATCTTTTCAGTGGCAATATCAAATGGGGGAGAGAGAGAGAGTGAAAGGCCATTCATTTGTATCTTCAAAGCAAAAACAAGTCACTTATTGGGAAAGACAGACTCCTTCCTGGCAGGCCATTGTTTGGGGGCACTCAGACAAATGTTCAGCATTTCAGACCCAGGGAGCCATGAGGCCGATGTTCCATCAGAGGGGAACAATCTTGAAAAAGAATCTAGACTTGACTTCTAGATTTTGCTACTTCAACTTGTTGTGTGGTGTTGAACATGCCACACTAGCTGTTGTTTTCTCAGATGTAGCTAAGGAGGAGAGCTAAATGCATCCCCAACCTCACATGAGCATCATGTGAAACTAGACTGGGGTCCTCTTACCAGAGATGTGCTGTTGTTCTTCCTTCTCTGTCACTATGTGCTTGACTGAGGTACACAACTTATCTCTAAAGCCAGAGTCAGAGCTCCAGGAGGTCAGAGGGGAAAGGCCCAACCTATTAACCCCTCTGACCACCCAGAGCCTCGTCTATGGCCATATCACATGTGGTGCAGGGCAGAAGCCAGACACTCTGGGTCTCTGAAGCCAAAGCACATCACTTTATCTATGTAGCTGCTTTTCCTTTGGATAAGAGAAGTTGAAAAGGAAAAAGTAATAGGAGATAAGAGAGTGAGCCTCAAAGTTTCAGCAATACAAAGACACATGGAACCCAAAACTCAACAGAATGGAGGTCCTTGGGTTTCTACAGAAGATAAGATGGGAAATAAGTGGAAATTATTTTTCTGAAATTCTAATAGCTGGATGGTGCAATTTAACATCCCAATGTGATGCTTTTGCTTGGTCATAGTGTTCAAAAATATGATTGAAAGTATCAGTCACTGCTTTCCTAGAAAGGATAAGATTTCAGAAGTGTGTTCCATTTAGAGGCATTGGCGCTGTGTACTCCTCTCCCTCTTCACTGGGTGGAATGGGGACACCAGGCTCCTTTGATTTGCCCAGGATTGGTGTCAGCATTTTGATCCATCCATGCCAGGCCTGCTAGGGCTCATAAAGAACTTAATTAAGGTGTGACTGTGCTTCGGTGGTAAAGCCTGGTCTTTAATGGAGCTGAGTGGGTCATCTTAGTTAAAGGCAGAGTTTTTACCACAGATGTCATTAGGCGAGTCCTGTACGTGCAGCTTCTTCCCAGTGGAATGCAGGGCTGCCTATGGATGTGAGATGCCCCTGATCGTGATTTTGGTTGGTGTCTGTCAAAGCCCAAATGTTGGAGGTGGGTAGTAGAGAAAGTTCACCTCACCATCACCACAGCAGCCTACCGGTAGGACAAAGTTTGAGTAGTCTCTAGTCAGAGGGCCTACAAGGGGCATCTGTCTGGAAGAAAGGCTGTTAGGGGGAGCAGGGAGGTGACAGAGAGGCCTGCCTAAGGTCTAGAACAAAGGGAAGGGTTTCATTTCATTAGTGCTTGGTCTTAGATGAACAGCAACTAAGACCATCAGTTGTGAATTTGGACTGGAGAAATGGTTCTGTGGATAAAATACTTGATGTGTAAGCATGAAGACCTGAGGTTCAATCCCCAGAACCCACAGAAGCCAGATGTAGTGCGCATCTGAAATCCCAGCACTCCTGCTGTGAGATGGGAAGTGGACACAGGTGAACTCCTGGAAGCTTAAAGAGCCAGCTGGCTTTCTGTGTGACATGTTTCTCAAGTGAAGTGGAGGTTTGTGATAATTGCCCTCCATATATACTCTCTCTCTCCCTTCCTCCCTCCCTCTCTTTCTCTCTCACACACACACGTACACACACATATACACACCACACCATACCATACCACACTACACCATACAATAGTTCTAAAAACCATGAATAGCTTGGAGCTGCTGTTATATCTTATACTGGCAAGCAGTTTGTTTCCCCCCAAAGAGCAGGTTGAACAAATTAGAATTTTGTATTTGCTATAAAGCAGTCCAGATGTGAGCAGCCTAAAGTTGGTAGATAGACTGCATGATGGAGATTTATAGGCAGTCTGTATTTTTGGCCCAACCATCCTTAGCATGAAGTTTCCTTCTTCAAAGATATTCATGATGCACCAGCCTTTAAAGGACTATCATGTAGAACTCACCCAACCATCTTGGAATCTAGCTCTATGATAGGGTGCTTTTCTGGTATGCCTCAAGTTCAATCCCCTGAACAGAGGGGAAAAAAAGAAATCCCATCCAGCCAATTCTGCTACACATCTGGATACTCACAGGAGAGTGGAAAATTAGGTCATTTAGTATGTGCTTTCCTGATGGAATTAAATTCTGCTATGAAGAAAATGGGGTCCCCTGTTACCTCTATCTCCCAGCAGTCAATGGCATCTTCCTAGTCCCTTCTCCCTCTTACTGCCTCCATGGCAGGGCTGCTGAGATCTGGAGACACAGTGTGACAGGTAAGAGTCTCAGTATCCTTCCTGTGCTCTAAGCTCTGCATGTCATACCTGACCCATCCGACCCTGGTCAGGGGATCAGTAAGTATAGGTAGACTTTCCCAGCATCACTTCATTTTTCTCTTCAGAAATATGGGCCTAATAATACTTGGGGGTG